CTTCGATCCGAAGTAGGAAGTCCAACCCGGGTTCCCTACGCTAGCAGAAAGCTAGTGGAAGGGTTGTAAAAGCCGGAGTTGGGAGTCACTACCCGCAGCTTCGCTGAGTACTCGCGAGAGACTTTCCCCCTGAAATCTTGAGTAGAGGTCCTAACCAATCTCCGGGTTGTGTTTCTGTAGTTTCAGGTGTGTGTGTGTTGAGTGAACTACGCTGCACTGTGCGACCTCCGAGTGAGCTCCAAGTGAACACTTGTAGTATTTCTGGGAGTGACAGTCGCCTCAGAATTCAAACTCCTCAATAGTATGTTAAATGTGACACTTTGTACCCTGTGTGTTCCTCTGTCCCTGTGGATTCGACCTTTCTACCACTATATTGCAGTTTAAGCCTTTAGTGGGTTATTACAACAGCCTTGACAGAAGTGGCATTCGGATTGAGGCCAGCAAAACGTGCTTTCAGTTGACTCTTGTAATCAACACGCTTATTGTCTCTGTTGCTCCGACAAACGTGAACCTTAGGAGGAAGTTGACGAAGCTCTGGCTCAGCTGGATGATGAGAAATATCTGGCATTTCCTCGTCGTTATCATCTACATCAAGGACCATATCGTCAAGAACCTCATCACCTTCAGGATTCTGATTAGGAAAATGGATCTTTTCAATGTCGTAATCATCATCTTCCACTGTTAGAGATCTGTTATTGCATTGGGAGGGTTCTCGTCATCAGCACCCCTAGTTCTTGGAACTTTGATAAGCTCAAAGACTTAGTCATTAGCCTCTAGAAGGTCCATATCCTCATCAATTAAGTTGTGAACAGCAGCTCTGAAGTTGATGACTATTAACAACTAGTTAGCGAAAAGCTTTCAAATACATTAGTTGTCCATGGCCTTCAAGCCCTTAAGCTGAAACAGTGATAGACAAGGAGATTTAAGAAAATGCAAGAAAAATTTACAAGGATGGAAAAAAGAAATTTTGCAGCCAACTCTAGATTTCACATCAAGTTTGATTTATAGAATTTAAGATTGATTAAGTCTTGTGGCAGGCTGCCACAAGACAAGAATTTGACACAGACAGAACCATTGTCATAATATTCTGTAAACAATTGCACCTTCATTCCAAGTTAGAACAATGACACAATGGTCTTCTCAGATTTTGCTAGAATATGAGCGACGTGTTTTTCCGTAAGGGTTTATCTCATAACATCACTCCGATGTTATTTTAATCTTCTTGATTCTTGATCTGGAAACCAACATATTCATATGATCACTACGTTAGATAATGGTTTCATGAATGGGGCAAGTGAGACAAATATTTCCAGCAAAAGCGTGAGCGTGCATCGAACACGCTACCTTCAGATCGGCCGGGATAGCTATCCCTGCTAATGTCACATCTATCATAACGTATATATAAGAAACTTTTGTAATCTGAACAGTTTATATTATACCATGCGTTCTCTACAGTGACACCGTGCACAGTGATTTCTTGGTGGTCGGAAAGTTTAATGGAGACTTCTTGGTGTTCGAGAAATTACACTTGCCCGGGTCTATGTATAAGTTTGTGACGGGTCCGTGCAGTATGACACTTGCCCGGGTCTATGAAGCCTATATAGGGCCTATGTATAAGTTTGTGCAGCTAAGGCTCCTCGCTAGAACAACCCCGACCGTATGCTCTCCCGGCTGACAGCGTATGTACACCGTTGGTGTTTCACCGTCACCCAGTGGGTTTCGCTGTCACCGTCACCCACGGTTTCGCGTTTCGTCCGAAGAAGAGAGGCCCTGTAGCCTTTTCGTCTAGCATTTCTTTTTACTCAGATTGGCGATGGCGGATCAGGCTACCTCGGAGGTGGCGATTCGTCGAATGATTTTTCCATTCAACCTGATGAGTTACGATTGTCAGGGCATTTGCGTTTGTATGGGGCCAGGGTTTTTTCTGTCGTCGCGGCTGTTAGAGAATTGGCGGGGTTTCAAATTTTGCTTGGTTTCCTTCTTCCTCCCAGGGCTTTCTAAAAGCTCGATGTCAGCCTTGCTCTCCGTTTCTCTCCCCGTCCCCTCCCATCACTGAACCTTCCATGCTGTTTTTCTCTTCCGTCTGGGCTATTCTCCTCGTCTTCCTCTATCCCAGCACGACATAAGCTTCGCATGTAAATACCTCCTTTTTCCTGCTATGGCTTTCGGAATCGTCTACACGGAAGGGTTTCAGAAGAGCGCAATAGTCCCGACCCTGTCATAAGACGTGTTTGTTTACCATCCGTGCCCATGTCTACAATCAAATCAGTATCGATTAATTGCTGCAGTAAGTGGCGATGGGTGACTTACTGCAATTTACTGAAGTGGGCAGTGCTGAAGAAGAGGTTTACTCGAAGTGCCATAGTGGAAACAGAAAACTTCTCTCGAATCTTTAGAGAGTTTAGAGCAGTAACTCACGGTGTGGAGGGTGAACATCTCTATCTTTTTCAAATTATGTATACTAAAGAGCCTGGTACATCAGTTGGGATCACACTCTCCTGTCAACCTTCTCTGTCGATGCACAACTAGTGGCTTTCACAGTCCAGCAATCCGATCAGCCCGTCCTGTCCGCGTTTCCTAGACAAACGTTTCTCCCGTCCAAGCTCACAGAGGTGGCGAGATCTCGGGAAGTCAAAAAAAAGAAAAAACCGTCTTTCTGTACAGAATGTTGCTTCTTTCTCTTCGGCAAGTGTGTTCAAGAGATGGAGAGAGATTTTGGATTTGGCCCGCCTCCGTCCATCTTTCGATGTGTACACATACACGCATTTAATAAAACGCAATGCTTAGAAAGCGCACGGAATGTTGTCATTGTTGTCGAATGTTAGAACCTCCGACAGAACTGGTGGTTTAAGTGATTTGGCTGTATCGATTGATGAAGAAGGCAATCTTGCTGAAACAAAATATGTGACTGCAATTGTGATTTCTTTTGTGCTTATGGGAGAATCTTCACGGAAGATAGGTTGAGAGCTTCGAGGAAATTCTTAGAAGCCGTTCAACGCATCTATTTAACATGACCTCCGATTCTCAGCACTTTATCGCTGGCTGCTTCGTAGCTCCTTTGTCGATTAGAGGGTTTAGGGTGGGTTCGATTCCTCAGACAAGGCAGTCACTCTGATAATGAGGATTTCACGGAATGATGAGAAAATTAAGCAACATCCCTGCGATCGAGGCTAGACATGAACGTGTATTGCAAATCACGTCTCACAAATCAACCCGTACCATTGATGAGCGCGATTACATAGTGTTCAGCGCTTTGCCGCCTAGGCTCCTTAGCCGATTTTGTGTTCAAAACTCTTTACTGACAGCTTTTGGTTTCATTCGATGGTTCTTTTGAGTCTTTCAATTCCCAGAAGTAATTTGTATTAAGCTTTAGTGTCACTGAGAACAAGATCCGGACTTGTACGCGAACTGTGTTGACTTATGAATCTTACTACTCAGAAGCTCTGATATCCTTGTTTGGTTTCGTGAGATGGTGCTCCAAAGAAGCAGCCTTCCAAAATTTGAACAAGCCGCTTCGGTGTCCCGCACGCGGTATTGTTTATTGAAGGCGAAAGAATAATTCGCTCTGGGTTGAACACACTGCTGATGAGAATACTCGCCGAAGATACAAGAATATGACCCCGCACGAAGGCTCTTGTCGCGCACACTATTCCATCGCGCCGACACGTGTCACACATCCGCTGTCCATGTGTCGAATTTGAATCCCGAGAGTTAACGCTCGACGGGTGACTTCTTGGTGCGACGGTGACAAGTGAGAGACCGTCACGACGGTGACCGTATGCCGTCAGCCCACAGTTATACGGTCGGGGTTGTTCTAGCCTGCAGTCAGCTAAGCCCGTCGTTTTGTATTGTGGTGGTACTGCCGCCACTGGCACTTTGGTGCTGTAGGCAGACGTGGCAAGCCTGGACCCGCTGATCTAGGAATCGACAGAAACAAGTTGAAACGTCGAGCAGGCGCTCGTGTCGGGTCCAAGGTCGACACGAGCTGTCGGAACTCGCACGCGAGCACAGCACGCGCCGCCGACAGACGTTGACATTGGGGTCTCCGTGTCGAGCAGCTCGACTTTGCATTGCAGCCCGTGAGGGTCGGACCTGATGGAGTCAACCCTTCGAACGTCCAAACTTCCCATCTTCGCCGGTTACCCATTGACACCGCTCGACAGCCATCGAGCATTCGCGCTCCCAGAGCAAGTCGCTTTTCAGAATCGATAGTATCCCGTATCGCTCGGTCTCAGGACACATCCGTCTGCAAGGATCTGGTAATTATCGACGCCGTCAATTTCTTAGTAAGAAAGAACAACTAAGACTTCATCAGCCCAGAAACGTTTCAGAGTACCTAAAGTGTGGCTATCAAACAGTCTGTGTCTTGTTAAACCACGAATGAAACGTTGGAAATCCTCAGTTCCTTCAGTTTCTCAAAATTTGCCGTTCCAAATTTATGATGAGTAAGCCTAACCTCCAATCCCGGATTGAAACCAGTCTTCGCAAGTATAATCAGACTATGCAGGGCTGTAATTCACTTGCTCATATCTCCAGGAAAGCGCTTACATGGAGAATGACAAGGAACTCACCTTACAAGAATCGTTTCCATTGAGATTTCGTCATCATTCGAAATATAATGCAAACCGCCTCATGGTATTGGTGATCCTATGTGGTTCTGCACGGAATCTAGTTTTCGAATTGTTGATGATGCACACAAACTAGAAAGCTTAACCATACAATAGATTCCACGGATGCTTGAAAGTGCATGACTCGATCAAAGGTTGCCCTCTACATGGTTCATACCATAAAATAAAATACAAAATAATTGTCATGATAATGCTCACTGCTTCAGTTATTTTCTGGAGCTTTTCGTCAAACTGATCGGATTGATGTTCCTTATTTTACTACAGTTTACAAGTGCAATAAGTTTTTACGAAGCATGCTATGCAAACCGTAAACTGGAATGTCTTCCTTCAGTTCGTAAGGTCTCATCTTATTTCAACATCTTGATATGGGCTCATCGCTGACAAATATATAGGCAGATGTGAATTGATTTGTATATATTAGAGAACCAAAATCTCTGTCATTTATGTGAGAGACAGCAGATATCCCGTCACTGATAGCAGAAGGTTGCAGTTAATGCCCCAGGAAGTCGGTCGCAGGGGTGATGAGAAAACTCTGCATTTGAGGTAATCACTCCGACAAAGGTAGTGACGTCTTCGTTCGAGGGAACGCGCGTCTGCAGGCTCTCGGCCCTGGGACTCCGCGCCTGCCTTTACCCACGGCCAGCCTCATCGGAATGAAGTACACTCGCTTTTATCGCGGTACTGCCTTGCACCACAAACTGACCACCGCCTTGCACCATGGCCGGAGAAAAAGCGCCAAGCCTTTCTGAACCAGATCAGAATTTCTGAATTTCTTAAAGCGAGAATGGATATTGAGAACTGCATATTCGTTTCGTCTCTGGGCGCCGTCGCAAGCGGCCATGGATGGTAGTGGGAAGGCCTGGGAAGAGCAAGCGCATCTGTTCCCGATGGAGTGTGTGAGGAACCTGGTTTTGTTTCTTTCGCGTGTGCTCGAGGTGCAGGGGTCCCGTGCGATGATTTTTCTATTTTCCGATTTGCTTCTTTGGCCCCAATCCTCAACAGGCTCCCAATTCTACGCATCTCTCGTTCCAACCACATGCTCGCTAGCGCTCGAGGTGTACTACGCTACAGCGCTTAGAATTGTGCCTGCGGCTTATCATCTTTCCAGACCTTACTTAAAGCTTTCGGCTCCAGCTCCAGATAGTACAGCCAGGGCAGTACATTCGCTGGTACCAGTCGCAGGCTCGACCTCTGTCTCTCATGGTCTCAGACAATGCTCTGAATTGACGAGAAAGACTCGACCCCGGCCGAGCACCACAGCAGCTGACCTCTGCTGCAATGCGTAGCTAAAGTTGATCGACCCGAGGAGCGCAGCTAATTTGGTTTGTACTACATCAGCGCGCACAATTTGGCGACAACTCTTTCTATTGAAAAAAATATTACTCAGGTGTCCTTACAGCAACAATGGAGAGGAGGGCACTGCTCGTTCTCGTTGTGTGTTGGCTCGGATTACTCCTCTCTCCAGGAGCAGGAGCAGCTGACGACGACCACCTACCTCATGACAACAACCAAACGTCCGGTGGCGTTCAGTCATTCTGTCAGGCGCTGGATCCATCCCCGCAGGTGCAGCCTTTCGTAGAGGAGCTTACTCAGCCGCCGGTCATTGACATCTCCACGGGCCAGCAGCTCACTCTTGGCGTCTATAAAATCAAACAGGTCTGTTTGCCCAGCCAGGTCCATTTAAGCTTGCAGTCAATTATGAATTCTGTGTGAAAATGAATGATGATTTTGCAGTCATCATCCATTGTCCTGTATGAATGAATCCTCGTAAGGTAGTGCGTTCGTTCGCCACACTCCGAATGTTTTGACCTGCAAAAGACGTTGAGAAGGTATGGGACATTGTGACTCAGAATTATCATTCCTTCTGGGATTCAGAAATTCTCAGCGAGTCTGAGCTGACTCGAAGCGTCGCTGATCGTCCGAATTATTTTCGATCGCTCGCTGACGAGATTCTCGATGTCGCGCAGAAATTCCACCCCGACCTTCCGGAGACGACTCTGTACGCTTACGGGACGAGCGAGGCGACGGCGTCGTCGCCAGGCCCGACGCTGGTGGCTACCAGAGGCAACGAGTCGTACGTGCGATGGGAGAATCACCTCAACGACACGCAGCATTTCCTGACGGTCGACCACACTATCCATTGGGCCAATCCGAAAACCGGCGGAGTGCCCATCGTCACGCACCTCCACGGCGGCGAAGTCCTGTCGGAGTCCGACGGGTACCCCGACGCCTGGTACACCAGCAGCGGCGAACTGGGTCCGTCCTTCACCACGCAGAACTACACGTACGCCAACTCCCAGCCCGCGGCGCTACTGTGGTACCACGACCACACGGTTGGCATCACGCGTCTCAACATGCTTGCCGGCATGAACGGCATGTACGTGGTCAAGTCACCCGGTGAGGAACCGGCGAATCTGCCGTCCGGCGAGTTTGAGCGACTCATTGTCGTCCAAGACAAGCAGTTTCACGCCGACGGCGCCGTCAACTTCCCCACGGTTGGAGTGTCACCGGGCGTGCACCCGAGCTGGTGCCCGGAGTACTACGGCGACACCATCATCCTCAACGGCAAGGCCTGGCCCTTCATGACCGTCTACCCGACCGCGTACCGCTTCCGCATGGTGAACGCCGCCAACGCGCGCTACTTCGTCATGACGCTCAGCGACCCGCGACTGCGGTTTTACCAGATCGGCACCGACGGCGGCTACCTCCACATGCCCCTCAACCTCACCATGCTGACCATGGGCCCCGCCGAGAGGCTCGACTTCCTCGTCGACTTCTCGACGGTGCAGCCCGGCACCGTCGCGTACCTCAACAACTCCGGCAACGCGCCGTACCCCGACGGGGACCCGGCGGTCGGCTTAACGACTGTGATGCTGAAGTTCAACGTGGTCGCGGCGCCTGTGAACTCGACGCTACCGCCGTTCGACCTGCCGGCGACGCAGGTGCTGTCCCCGATGGTGAATATCAGCACGGACGGCGCCATCGTGAGGAGGATGACGCTGACGGAGTACGACGACGGCAACGAAAACCCGACCGGCTCGCTGCTGAACGGGCTGAGGTGGAGGGACCCGCTGACGGAGACGCCGGAGCTGAACACGACGGAAGTGTGGGAGATCATCAACCTGACGGAGGACGCGCACCCCATCCACCTGCACCTGGTATCGTTCCTGGTCAAGAGTCAGCAGGCCTTCGACGCCGTAAGGCAGACCGCCTACAACTGCTCCTTCTACGTAGCTTACCCCGACCCCATGAGCTGTTTCACGGAGCCCCCGCAGGAGCCCGAACTGCACCACCTCGGTTGGAAGGACACGGCTACCGTGTACCCCGGCAAGATCACGAAGTTCGTGGTGAGATGGGCGACGCAGTCCGGCCAGCAGTTCTCGTTCGATGCCACCAGCGGCCCCGGCTACGTTTGGCACTGTCACATTCTGGACCACGAGGACAATGACATGATGAGGCCTCTGAAGATGATGGCCGCCAATTCTACCCAGCTCCCGTAATTTTGCTGAGAATTCATCTCCCCCGTGTTCGATCCGGCCATGTCTCTCCAGTTGCCCATCTGTGTACAGCGTGCGTGTGCGAGTGCGTGTGAGAATCAGCGATGCAGCCCCTAGGAATAGAAGTTATGGACCGAAATTAGGATTTGGAGGACTGAGAGCGAAGAGCAGATGAAATCAGATGGTGTGTCAAATTGTGTGGGTCAGTGAGGATCGTAGGAACAAGGGGAGGAAATAAGACTGTTCCGGCAGGAAAGCGCAAAGCAGATTGCGAAGAGGGAATAGATGAGACTGTCATTGTCCATAGTAGATCAGAGGACAATTAATAATCTCCTGTGTTTTGTTGCGAAGTTTATGTATAGCATGCAATTGCTTTATGGAAAGAGCCCCGGTGATTTAATAATTTTTGGCCTCAGAAGCACTCAAAGCAGAGCAGCTTTCTCAAATTTGATGCTTAGATTGCTCTTCAGAATCCTTCAGCAAAAAGGAGATTCGTACATATGGATGAATTCAAAGTAATATCCGCTGCACTATGGGCTGATCTGAGTTAGGTGCAAGGCGAGAATGTTGGACGATGTAAATGGCACAATTTTTTTTCCCTTGAAGGTTTGGGTCTGGAGGCGCACAGGTTATAATCCACGCCCTCCAAGGGAGGAAGCCAGAAGATATGCCAAGCATTGTAGATCCGTTTATTGTTGTGTTAGTCATTCAAGATGTCGTCATGTCTGGTATAAGAGTGGCTTGTTTTGAAACAAATAACTTTGTCATCCAATGACCGGAATTGAATGGTAAGATTGTCTTCTTCATTTTCAACTGACTATTGCCTGACAAGGAAAGTGAAGGACCCTCGGATGGTGACACGCGAAATCATGTCTCGGTGCACGATGAGTTGTGTTGTGATGGTCGTGTGTTCAGTTTGTGTGTAGAACTGAAACTGGAAGAGTTCAAAGCGGACTGTGAGTCAATGATTTTCATCTTATTACCTCCTTGCTATAGATCAAGTTCTAAGCCGAGCACATTCAAGTTGAAGTTCAAGCGCTGCTCTACCACGCGAATCAAGGTACCCAAGATTTAAAACTCAGCACATCACGTCCTATAGACGTGTAAACCATCTACGTAAATATATCAGCTTCAAGTCTGCATCTGTCACTGCAATTGTGAGGTTTTCAACGACAAGACGCTGTGGACGTATGGATGATTATTTGATCTGGAAAACGAGGCTACGGCTTTGTTTCTAAACTTTGATCAGAAAGGATGCTTCTAATGGAAATACATATGATGCTCCGAGGCCTACAAAATTCTTTCCTCATTCTGTGCGCTTCGATATGTGTGCTCTGCAGCATCACAGCAATCATTTTCTCCTTCTGTTTTGTAATGCAATCTGTCAGTAGGGCATGACGATGACAAACAGTTCATGCACTCCTCAGAGAGTGATTGAGCAGAAGATGGCTGACCGAGCCTCCAGAAAGTTTCTTCTCTTGCACCCTGCAACTGGTCATATTAGATACTGAGTAGAACTCACCTTTTATACTCAAGTTCATCCATATGCATCACAATGTTAATACCTTCAGATTACTCAACTCTTCTTTTACTTCTTTTGAGTTTGTGCTAGATGGAATAAGCAAGATGGAAGTCTCGGGGTATTTATTCTTCATCCGTGTTGATCACATATCAAACGTTTGAAGAATAAGCATGCGCACTATTTTAAAACTTTTAAGACAGCAAAAAGCATTTGTTCCATCGCATTTCGCATTTGGTCCTCTGTAAAATGAGAGAGTTTCATGAGCTCATGTGTCCAGTGAGAACTCCTAAAGACCTTCCAACTCTTTCTACGCCATCGTCAAACTGAGTTAACATCAATTTCGGCTATAAAGACAGTTTCCATGCCGATGATGTGACAATAATTCTTATGGGGTATGGAAGTTGCAGCCCAGATGTTTCGTAGTCCAGGTCTGAGTATTTAATTCTAACAATGATATGAACTGATGTTGTAGTGAAGTAATCTACTATGTGAATCTCGTGAATAAGGAAAGAGAGAACAACCCAACCTTCCCATCAGGTACACGTGAAACCAGCTCTGCAATCAAAATTCCTCTCGCCAACATTGTTTGCGAGAGGAGACTTTGAGGAGATAGATGCAATTGCAATATCGACGAGAACGTCACTGACTTATCCTTGACAGCGACGACTGTCAGTCAACTTAGCACTGTGTCGACTAATGTGTAGATTCAAAATATGTATCGACTGATGTTTTTGGAATTTGTTATGTGCCTCCATAAAATTATTGTTTGTCGCTGTCCAGCCAGAGCTAGTCTGTAAGTGGTTAGATGAATGTTGCCTTCCTGCATTTAATGCTGATGTTCAAATAAGGCACTGCACTCAATTTGCTTTTTGAGCAAATTCAAATCCATTGCAATGATTTCAAGATTTCTGAAACACTTTGCCGTTGCTCCATATCTAGTAACTGTCTATGATGAGGCTCCTCAATACCCCAAGACAATGCTCTTGGACTTGTGTCCGTTGTTTCGGTTAAGCAATTGCGGTAATGGCTGAGGATCGCGTCAACCTTACCGATTGTGAAGAGTTCTCCACAATCTGGTAGCTGGATCTTACTTTCAGACTGAACATCTCGTATAGTGATCACAAGAAATCAGATGTAATCCTTGAGCTTCAGAGAAAAAACTGATTTGTTGTTCAAGAGGTTGTAGCACTGGCAATGGAAGCGCGCCTCATCAACACAATTGGAGAGAAATCTCTTGCTCTTGATCCGTTTTGCGAGTCAGATAGAAATCAAACGTACCGCATGAGGGCCCACGTAACCTCCATCTGGGCTTTGCTTCCTTATCCCCGGCCTTCTTTGATCGATGAGGCACACATAATCAGGATTTCGAATGATCGCTTTCAGTAGCTTATCTTGTGTCAAAACAGAAGCTCATGTTCGTGCTGATGCGGCTGTTGAGACTTGATTAAATTTTGAGGATGCCCGTGATAGAAGGACAAAATACTGAATTTTTCCAGTTCATTGAGTTCAGTGTTTCGCTTGAGAATCAGACCCTGTCCGCGCAGTGTCACCTACTAGTTGTTGAGCGTCGAGCACCTCGAAGCATTTGCCCATCGACCTACCTCACTGATATGGCACCGAATACGTAAAGCGTGAGTTCCCTCGACGTCGGCAGTTCAGCCCACAGATTGAAATTTGTCTTAGTCGTCAAATTTCAATCAACCTGAAATAATTATTGGCAGGATCTGCCAAGGTCAGTGACGCAATGCTCCCACTATCTCCTTCCATGTTTATGATGGCTAGGCGTGCTCCTGATTGCACAGCTGATCCTAGACAAAGATAGGTTCATGAACCTACACGGTTATCACCATCATCTCACCAGTCAGAACTTGGAATTATTTAAATGTATAGTTATTGAAATCTTCTGACATAAAATATGTTTTCTATATATTCAGTGGATGTTGTTAACATTTAAGACATTGTGTATTATAATAGAAGAAAATATAAGTCTGTAAGCGAAGTGTTTGTTACATGTACTGCTCAACAGATATCAAGTGTTCTATGCCCTGTTATCTGTACTGCTCATCAGATCTCACCTACCATTGATGTGCGGACAGCACAACGAGAAAGGCGATAACTGGCAATATGCTGTTGGTGCATCACACCACCAGTTGCAGAGACTTCAGAGGTCATGATAGCATCAGGTTATTGGTCAATTCTTCAGCACTTTGTGGTAGCCGGTTGCAAAGTATCCTGGAATTTCGTCGTATCTAGATTGGAGGCTATAAACAGAGCTCCTACATCTGAAACCGACAATCTCTTTGTCCGAACAAAGCATTATACAGTGAATCCATAGTAGCAGATGATACCTGCGTAGCCCCTCCTTCCATTATTTGTACCGACTTGCTTAGTTGCACAAACTTTTACAAACGGCCGTACTTCCAGGTGTCAGGGATCTCAGTTTCTTTCTACTCTTTCTTTCTTTCTTCAGGCGCCCTTCGGGCTGCCCCGAGTTAGCGGGATTTTATCTGAGTTTTGGGAACGGGGAGGCGGGGCACTTTGCAGGGAGGGTCGGCGGACCCTACATTCCGGGAACCATGTAGAAGACCTCAACCGGATGAAATTCCAACAACCATGTAGAAAAGAGGCCGTCACTGTAGAGGCGGCAACGTTCTATCTATTGCGTTGCAATCATCTACGCCGTAGCAATGATTTTGGTCGTGTCTTGGAACGTTGTGAGAACTAAAAACTAAAACTCAACCTTAAGAGGGATAGCTCGCCGTAACAATGATCGTGGTCGTGTCTTGGAACGTTGTGGGAACTAAAAACTAAAACTGAACCTTAAGAGTGATAGCTCAGATGGAATTCCTAGTGTTCAAACTGTAATATTTGTAATCAAACGGTGATAACATATTGAGGCGACAAAATTTTAAGCGGCAAAGATTAGGGTTTTTGAAAATAGTATCACATCGATATTCTCCAGCTCGTCATTTCGACGTCGCTTTTGGGTGCCAGTGTCATTGCTTTGAGGAGCTCGTGCTTGTACTTTTCTTGTCATTTCAGGTGCTTTTTGCAAGTGTGGTGACAACATGGAGGCAGGATGGATTGTGCAGCACCCACCTTATGATGGCCCTTTCAATTCGTTAATGTTGAATTGGTCAAATGGGACGGCCTACATCAAAAGCTCGAGGCTTAACGATTTTGTTTCAGGAGAGGGATCTTGTTATAGTGATGCGAAGACAGAATTTATGACACGTTGCTCATACAAAGGTGGAGGTACTAGGCACAATTGAGAATCGTATGTAATGTATTATTGCAAGTATGGTACTCCAGAAAGGGGCAAGAAGAGTATGCTTTCCTCGAATTTTATTCAAGATCCATCAACAAAGGCAAAATTTGGTCCTGGCAGCAGGGATAGACTACATCATGATTCGCATCACAAGGGCTGTCAATGCAGGTTTAGTGCCATTAAACTGCTGTCTAATGATCACATTCCACCAGGAATCACGAAATTGATATACAAGCATAGAAGACACGTAAATGCTGCAGGTGTAGCTTGTCATGGCACAGCGTGTTCGGATAGTGTTGGCTTGCCATCTCAAATGGCGCACAATTTATCCTCTGAATGCAGGTAACGGCATATTTGTTACATTTTCAATGTATTTTTTTATCGTTCACAGTCAATCTCCGGTCATATTTGTAATATCTACAATAAGTTTGTTGTTATTACAGTTTGTAAAACTTTGACACTAAGCAAGCACGTTATATAATGTTTTCTACGTTCTTTCGCCAGGGAGTGGGTTGAATGCGACTTAAGAAGAGGTTTAACTCCTCCACAAATTCTCATGCGTGCTGCAAAAGCACTGTTTGAAAATCATCAGCGCTTAGGCTATGTGCAAGGGACCCCTATTAGATATCAGTATATCACATCTGCTGATGTGTATAATATCAAATTGGAACTGGACAAAGAAATTTGGAGAAGGCATGCTAATGATAGAATTAGCACAGAATTATGGATGAAAGCGAATTCATCTGAAGTTATTTTGTATCAGGTACCAAAAAGTAATCCATTTAAACCATTGAGGCTTGCTGTTACAAGACCTTTGCTCCTAGATTGGTTGCTAAAACATGGAAATGGAGGTTGTGTTGTTATAGATAGAACACATGGCACACAGAAGTATAAGGTAATATTTTACTTGTCCATTTTGATGTATTTAT